AAAGTATTTGTTTTGATCAATGACAACATCCATATTTTGTATCTTCTGTGGGATCATCACAAATATACACAAGAAAGTACTCTACAAATGTACAAAGTAAATAACAGATAAAGATATATATATAAATAAATAGTGCAGGAATTTTAAAAAAGTATTCCCCTTTCTTATAGTTGTCTGCTCAGTTCAGTACAGTTCAGAGGCAGTGGAAGACCTGTGCAGTTTCTGTGCCTAGTCAGAGAAGTAACCATTCTTGTAATAACCTCTTCCAGGTCCTACATTCTCATAAATGGCATGTGTGTTTTGGTAAATCAGATCCACGTTGGTGCCTGTTCTTGCCTTGATTATGTCCATGGCACACTGGTGTAGGAACACGTACTGATCCTATAAGCAAACAAAATATAGAGTGTGGCTGAGATACAGTATACTTGTGAATTCACTATGTAGGTCAAAGTACGAGTAAAAGTACTTCATTTTAGTACTACATTTTGTAACAATACACACAAGGTGTCTCTGTGTCTTACCTCAGTCTGCACCATTAGGGGACGGTGCATCCGCAACTCATGGACGATGCCAAATATGTCAACACTATTTTTCCTTTCAATTTGGAAGATGAGTGTGTCAAGGGCCATCAAGGTACCTGTGCGCCCAACACCAGCACTGGGCACAGACAAAAAAAACATAACAGTCATGAATATTGTTTTACCTCAGTGAAACTGATTAACAGGATCTAAAGTTAAGGTGTTTTTGTCAGACCTGCAGTGGATCACGGTGGGCGAGTGCTGAGAATACTGGTCCATATGTTCTCTGACAAGGTGCCTAAAATCGATAAGAACCTCAGTGGTCTCTGGTACTCCATGGTCTGGCCAGGCAGTGAAGTGAAACTGGCGCACCACTCGTGTCTCAGCAGTCTTCAGCTGGACAAAAAGCCAAACACAAGTGAATTTATTAACTTAATAAAGAAGGCTGTCTATCTATCAGTCTGTCTGTAGTTTCAATTCAATTCGTGTGGGTGTTCTAGTTACGCTACAGTACTTACGTTTTTTATTTCAAAGTCTCTTAAGGTCCAGTCTTCAAGTGGTATTTCAGAGATTAACGTCACAGTAATGTTGTCATAGTCCATCTGGCCAGGACCCCAGTACTGCTCACATTTTACCTTTGAGAAGAGAACAGTTTTTGCACAGCTAATCGTTTGCCTTTCCATTGCTGATAGATGTGGTGTTTGGGTTTGAACTTACTCGTCCCTGTTCATTACAGCGTGTCAGCATGACAAGTGTCAGTACATTTTTCTCCCAAATCATCCTCCAAAAATCACAAACTGTTGCTGGGAGAGGACCTTGGGCTGCAATAAACTCTTTCCTGGAGTTGTAACCCTGTCAAATAAAACACCAGCCCAGCCATAAACAACAAATGTCAACTTCATCAGACGTGTCTAGATTTTCTGACATATATAATGGTGGAATTGTTTAAAGTAGTATGTCATTGAGCACTATGTCTACTGTACTGAAAGAGTGAATACGCACCGGCATGTAGTTGGCATTAATGTAGTCATCAAATTGACGTCCACGGATAATAGAGAGTTTTACCCTAGAGCAGTCATCTAGAGGTCCAGAAAATAATGTAATTAAGAAAGGTCATAGGAGGCAGTGTGAGAAATAGAACAATGGCCAATACATTTATTTACACATGAGAGATCATCAGGTGTGCTGTGTAAAAATAAATCACTAACTTAGTTGGTCTGAATACTATTAGGTACTTATTTACTGCAAATAATTTGTCTCTATTCGTCTGTGCGACAGTGACAGGCAGAACTGAATACTCTTCCACTAGGTGTCAGCAGATAGTTATAAAACTAACAAATAGAGACTCAGGAATTTTGAAGAGGTCATATGTCTTTTTCATATACTGCAACTATATCAGCACAGGTTTCACACTAGTATGTAAATTGTAGATTATATTTTCTGAACTTGTCAGTGTTTTCTAAGGATCAGCTACACTAGCAAGTTACTAACCCTCCCATCTCGCTTATGTTTTTTTTCTGGCCCTGAATTACCTAACAACATTCTTTAAAAATGTTCACACATTAACGCCATCACACCTGCAAAGAAACGACAAAATGTAGAAAGCAGATGCTACTGTACAGAATTTTCCATGCTGAAGAAAACAGCAGAATATACTTCCTGTCACTCCTGTCGAGGGTGTCTTATACCAAATACAAATACGCAGGTGAAGAGAGTTGTAAACTCACATGGAAGCACATTGTTGTAGCGGTTCTTAGGCTTGTTCTCCAACATCAGAGCGCTTGCCTTTGACTGGCCTACACCAACAGCCTTCAGGTCCTTTACATCAAAAAAAGACTGCATGAGTATTTGGCTCAATTTGGACTAAAACGCTGAAAAAGCATCATCAAAATGTGCAAAATGACACAGATTTTAGTCCCAACTATACTGGACTGAACTTACCCTTTAAAAACATACTTTTTTGTTTTGAAAACTCTCTCTTTTTTAATTTAATATCTTACATTCTTTGCAGGATCACTGTACAATAGCATTCTAATCCTGAAGTGGCACAAAATGATTTTCTAGGATAAATGTAATTATAATATTTTTGGTATTACAAAGTTTAAAGTTTCACCTCAAATTCTTCAGCAAAGCCACAGTTGGAGTCTGCTTTCTGCTTCCTGAAGTACGCCTTATAGTCCTCAATGCTTACAGCCACGCTTCTGCTCAACGCCAGAAAATATTTTTTTTTAATATCAATATGATGGTATAGTACAGTAAATGCTGTGTATTTATACTTACGCTTTGAACCTGAAAAGTAGGAACAAAAGCAATATAAGTAAGTGGTAGAAATGTTAAAATTCCACTGTATATTTAAAATACTAAAATAAAAACCATACCTTGTGGATTCAAGCTGGATGTCTGTTGTTTTTTTGTGGGACAATCTACAGTAGAAAACAATATGTGATGTGAGCACAGTCCTATAGATAGTTCAATATATATTTCTATTACTAAAACCAATACCCAACCTTTTCCAGTAGATAATGAAGCTGATGAGGATTAGGAACAAAAAAGCAAATATTCCCAGTGTTGCTCCTACAGCCATGCCAATGACAGCTAATTTCACATGGAAAAACAGGGGGAAAGACAATTTACTTTCCAAAGTCAGTGTTTGATAGTGATTAAGAAACGGTTATTTAAGTACTTACCTGGGCTTTGTGGGAGGTTAATAGTAAAAACAGTTGTTACTGAGACTATGGATTCTTGTATATTCACCAGGCCATCATCAAGAATCAGAGAAGTGAATAACCCCAAGGCATATCTGAGGAAAATATTTAAACAAAGAAAATTCTCATTCTCATATCATACTCTTTGGCTCTATGGAAAAAATGAAGATCTTTTATGGTGTTATTATAGATGATACACTATATAAAACCTAATAGTTGTAGAATCAGAAGGGGAATATCTTTATATGTCCAACAATGAAGTATTAATGTCATATCAGCAAAGCAGGAAAATTAACTGAAGCAGATGAAAGGGTAATATGGTTTATTTGCATTAAATCCCTCAAATCCCTTCAATAATATATTACTGTTATTGTAGTAACATACAAATGTAATATATATGTATATATATATTACATTTTTTCCATATTATTATTCTTATTAACACATTAGTGTAAACAGAACAATTTTGCAGCATCCTTTGGACTTACAGTATCAGTGTGGGACATGTATCAATGGTGCCATTGTGTTTCTTACTGGTATTCTTTGTTGGCAATCAAGGCTCCATTAGTGTAACCCTCCCATGTGGAGCCACTTCCCACTACTATGCTCAGATAGTTTGCATCACTGCGCAGCTGGGGGTTTATCTTAATGACTGTTGTCAGGTAAACTGGTGTCTTTCCTGTGCGCCACTGATTATACGTTTGCCCCAAGTATTTCTTTAAGTCAGATGTATAATCTGTAATGAAAAATTGAGTTTGAAATAGGAAATTAGGTTTAAAAGCAGTATTATACAGTAGAAATGCCACTTGACAATAACGTACCAGACAGTTTGCACCTGTGAGCTACTTACAGTAGATACCAAAGTGAGTATGGTTACTGGCAATATCCACTTACTCTATGTGCTTTATTTAAAAACTTAAATTTACATTAATTTTCTATTCATTGTCTAACTGTAATTATTACTGTTTTATTGTACAATAATTCAATTCTCCAACCAGCCCATAACAATTACACTCTGTAGTTAGTTCACCATGGAGCTTTCCATTTGTAACCTCAAATGCCAAATGTGATAACTGTGTAGATCATTCCAGCAAACATGAAAATGCAAACATGATGTGAAACAGGCATTCAAGTCATTACGTGTAAAATTTCTTCAAGCTCTTATAATCTGAGTCCAGTCTTGCATCCCTTATTTTTGTCCAGTCGAGTCACAAGTTTTAGAACAGTGACTCAAGTAACTCAAGGCACGTTTCCTACCAAACATTTATGTTATTAGTAAGAAAAAAACTAACCAGGAGACTTGTCTATCATGAGCACACCAACATGTGTGACTCTGCCATTGCTGTCATTCAGCAACGCCCTTTGGATCTGAATGGTGAATTTGTCGTGTGCCTTTTCACTCACCTCCTGCATTGTCGTAATTGCAGGGGGAATGGGTGGCTCTTAAAAAAAAGAATACAAAAATAAATAAATAAATAGTCAAATAAATACAGCAGAGCAAAACACTGCACTGAGTTGTGTTGTAAAACATTTTGAATTTTATGTAACTCATGATGCTTGTCCTACCTGTGATGCCTGTCCTGCATTTTTTATACAAAGGGATGCTGGGCTTTCCACAGCTCAGAGTCACTACTTTCAGTACATATTTAGTATTGTGACGTAGGCTGGGCAAGGTTTGATTTGATGTTGAGTTTAGAACATCTATGGAACTGTTGTTGTCAACAGTGATACGCAGGCCAGTGTGCTGACCGTTGGGTTTTGCCCAGGACAGGACAATTTCAGCCTTTGTTGTGTTTGGACCCACACATGTCAGGTTTTTCACAGGGCTTGCATCTGCAACATAAAAAGAGAAATGCTGTATTTCACAAAATTAAATCTAAAGTGTAAACAAGCCTGAACATAAAATAAGTTTGCTTTAATATTAGGGTTTTAGGTTGTCGTGTCGTTCTAATACATCAGATTCACAATTATATGTCACAAGGGACACACTAATAATTATATATATGTATATATATACATGCAATTGAAAGTTATTGTTAAATTTAGAACTACCTCTTAGCATTAAGAAAAATATAAAAACACAGCATACTTGTGCAGCTGGAATTCCATGTAGTCAGACCACGTATTCCTCCATCAGTCTCTGGAGTGACAGTGAAGTTATATTGTGTGCCAGAATCCAGGTCAGGAATAGTATACTCAGTTTTGTTTGTTGTGACATTCTTGTGGTCATATTTTCTTCCCCAGGTTATCCTGTAATGAAATGGTCCCTCATAATCTGCAGGTTTTATCCATAAAAGTGTGATGTTGTCTTCTTGTGTCGTTTGGGCCAGGACAGACTCCACACCTAGTTTTTCTGATTGTGAAAAGAGGTGTTATCACCACCCAGATAGTAAGATCACATAGAGAAGTGTGTTCATTTTGAAATGCTTACTTGTTGTAACCATGTTGATGTAAACTGCCTCACTCTCAAAACTCATCTCACCCACAGTAGCAACAGAGAAGTTGTATGAAGATCCAAAAATCAGGGATTTGAACGTGTGACTGGTGTTGGTTGTCACAATGTGTTCATCTTCTTTTGATGATATTGTGGTTAATTTGTAGAGTAAAAATGCATTGTCCATTAGAAAAGGCTCTTGCCACATAATTTCAATGGAGCTGGTGGTCGTTGTTAAAACTTCTATAGGCCCAGGAGGGTTTGGAACTGTGCAAAAGGAAATGATTCAGTGAAAGTCACCAATAACCATTGTAAATAAAGACAGAGCAGCGCTAGAGCAATGTCGTAGCTTAGCTCATCTGCTGTACTTGCAGAAATGCTAAATCCTTCCCAGTTTTTTCATACAGACACTTGGAAGCTAGATTAAGTCTACAATTGTTTGCTCTTTGCATATTAAATCCATTGTAAACTGTTTGACATGTTCATTTATTGTACAGTTTGTGAAGTTGAATAAAAGTTAGTTGCAGAGACAAATGAAATCTATAGAGCTGTTCCTACAAGTTTAGAATAAACACATCTTTCAAGTCTGCAATTGATGTCTGAAAAAATTGTTATGCGTGTACCATACTCACAGGTTGCATTGGTGATTAATTCAGATGATGCATTTAAAGGCCCTGCTAATGTTAATACTCTTGCAGTGTAAGGAGTTCCTGCACTCAGATCTTCAAACATGTGGAAGGTGTTGCTTGAGTTCAGTAACACTTGGCGAAAAGTGTTGTTTAGAGTAACACAAAACATATCCACATTTCCATCGGGTATGTTCCATGACACCAGGAGTGAACTGTTGGAGCCCTGGCTGCTGACACTGCTGACTTGTACTGACCCAGGTACTGTTTATTAAAAAAAAGTGATAAAAGTTTGAGGTAATTAATCACTTTGACCACTATTCTTAATAGAATAACTGTTATAGAATTGACTTGCAGGTTAGTGACAGTGTCGGGCTCTGTGGGCAAGTGAAGGGAGGATTAACATAAAGATGAAGAGCAGAAATAATGAAACGAGCCAAAACAAAAGTAGTACGACTTCATCACTTGTCTTCATCACCATTAATAAAAAACAAGTACTGGTCTTCCTGTAAAGTTTTTCTAAGATGGAATTGCTTAACTCAGAGGGCAGAGGTCACACCATCATCATCGTGGAGGATCAGAGAACAAATTGGTAAGAATGTTTTGATGACTAATATTGATTTGATTAAACATCACAAAGAGAAATTCTCTAT